GGAGCATGTGAAATATATGCTCCTACATCATAAATACATTACAAACATGTAAAATATATGGAGCCAGTGGTACCGAGCACACGGGATGCGTTTACTACATGGAGTCATTACTACAACTATGGCTACTATTTTGTTGCTGTCCCTGTTGGGACGTCGACCTTAGCCACCTGTCACGCTTCCTTACCTACTGGCAAGAGCTCGCAGTGCACAGGGCGAGTGAGCACTCACTGCCTGCGGGGCAAAGGGGAATTCGGCCTCTTCAAGAAACATTTCTACTAATTCTGTTTTTAACTTGCCAGAGGATGCAGGCACGTGCAAGAGAAAGACAGAGAAAGGGAAAAAGCGTCCTCAGGGGAATGGTCACACCACAATGCCTTCTCCATCTCTCTCCGTGATTTGGACATGCACACACATGTGCTCAGCGTGTTTTTCTAGCTGTTGGGTCCAGGACTCAAACCGCACAGTTTGGCCACGTGGGATCAAACTCCTTAACCAGCAGACCATAGGCTGACCCCACCTCCAGTAAATTATTTTTTGTCACTTATCTCTTTATTTTATTTTCTGAGAGGAATAATGAATTATTCCTTTGAGTTTAGGATGCTTTACAAACTCCAAGCTCCTGTAGTGGCCACCAAGTTGACTGAAGTGTCTAGACCCAAATGCAAATTCCCTGATCAGTTCACCTCCTGAAAATATGAAAAAATGCAAAATTTGCATTGCCATAAAACTGTAGAGATGTTCTTGAAAGCTAACGGAGCTTTGTTCTACTTGGTCCAGGTCCAACACTCAGGATAGAGTGGGCTCCCAGAAAACGTCTTCGAAGAACCCACAGGTCGAAAGTAATTTGAAACAATTAGTGGGTGTAAGCGAGACATGGCTCAGAGATGGGACAGGGCTGACGCTGGTGACAGGTACTGCAGCTGGCTGACTGGTATGTCGGGATTCACTACACCCCCCACACCTTTCTCCATGCTGAGTTAAAAACAGCAATTCTCTAAGTGTTTTTAAATGCCACTGGGGTGGGGGAGGGGTGTATGGGGGTGGCCATACCCAAATGCAAATTCCCTGATCAGTTCACCTCCTGAAAATATGAAAAAATGCAAAATTTGCATTGCCATAAAACTGTAGAGATGTTCTTGAAAGCTAACGGAGCTTTGTTCTACTTGGTCCAGGTCCAACACTCAGGATAGAGTGGGCTCCCAGAAAACGTCTTCGAAGAACCCACAGGTCGAAAGTAATTTGAAACAATTAGTGGGTGTAAGCGAGACATGGCTCAGAGATGGGACAGGGCTGACGCTGGTGACAGGTACTGCAGCTGGCTGACTGGTATGTCGGGATTCACTACACCCCCCACACCTTTCTCCATGCTGAGTTAAAAACAGCAATTCTCTAAGTGTTTTTAAATGCCACTGGGGTGGGGGAGGGGTGTATGGGGGTGGCCATAGACTTGGACCCTGTCGCCACAATTGTGCTTCACAGCTTAGGAAATAGAATTTACCAGGTCCTTTCCTTGAAAGCCACACGTCACAGCCACGGTGCATAGTAAATACACATTAAAGACCAGGGAGTACCACATTAAAGAGACCTTCTAACACCGTTTAACCCACAGTCTGTTCCCAAAGCCGAGCTGACTATCGAAACCTGTTTTTCCCCCTTTGTAGCGTCTGTTAACCACTCATCAAAGGAGCGTTCTGCAGGACACGCCTGGCGAATCTGTCCTGGAAGATCGCGTGGTGCCTATTCACAGGAGAGAACAAGAAGGCCAGTTTCCTGCACTTTCTGCCAAGGACAGCTGCCCAGAATCAGGGAAGATTTGCTTTTCTTGGATCACAGAGGAAAGCCAGGAAGCGCCTGCTGGTTCTAGGTGCAGCCTGGGAGCAAGGCATCGGGAGGGCTGCAGGCAGCTCCGTGGGCAGCCGTGCACACCCGGCGGGACCAGCTCTGTCCAGAGAGCGAGGGCACAGCCCTGGGGACAGACGTTCTGGGCACAGGTCCCACCTTCACTGCAGGATGTCACTTACACTCCTGCGCCCCAACGTCTTCATCTATAAAACAGGGATGGCGAACTTCACAGAGCCCCGCACATGGTAGCCAGTTAAGCAAATAAAATTCAGGATGACTAAATAATGCATAGGACATTTTTATACTAATAATTATCTGCTGTTTACCTGAAATTCAGATTCGACTGGCCATCTGTGTCGGACCAAGCAGCCCTACTTTACAGAGTGGGCTGAGGATTCAGTGGCAGGGTCCATATTCAGCTCTCAGAACTGCACCTGGGGCCAGTGGGTGGCATAGGGTTAAGGTGCTGGATTCCCACGTGGTTGACCGTGGTTTCAGTCTCGCACCTGGTGGCTTGAAACTCACTCCAGGTGCATGTGTACGTGCCCAAAGTCCTGAGAGGGGAATGAAGGGACTGTGGCATGGCCATCTCCCCTGGGGTGTGATTTCTCACTTTCTGTCTCTCTGGCTAATACATGTTCCCTAATACCAAAATTAAAAAAAAAAAAAAAAAATGAGCGAGCGAGCAGTACCTGGTGTCTAGTGAACACTCAACTCTTGGCGATTATCACCAATGGTACCACTTTAATCCCACGCATACTGTTCTTTTATTCTGGTTCTCCTAATAATTTCCTAAGGATTTCCCTGAGTATATAATTTAGCCATTTATAGACAAGTATTACTTATAACTAATAAAAAGAAAATGATATTTCTGGGTTTAATTTTTTTGATACAAGTTCTTGTTGCTTTCTTTTTTGTTGTTTTTAAGTTTTAAGAGTGAAGAACACGGGAGAAAGACAATCACCCTTGACAGGGTCTCATGCCACGGTTTCACCTCCAACCTTCCCAGACTTCCTGGGTCATGGCCACACAGGCCAGCCATGCCAGGCGGACCGGGGAATTGAACCCCTGGCCTCAGTGAGCAGAGCCTTGTGCAGTGCCACCGATTTAGCTCAGAAGTTACGCCTCGCTGACTTTCATCTACTGTTAGTGGAAAGAAGGCATGGTGGGAAAAAGACTCCCTCTGTGCAATGTTTGTGGATATTTTAGTTCTGAGAGGGCTGCATTTTTTTTCCCCTTTGGAGAGGTTTTTGCTATAGAGTATGTGTGCTTGCCAGAAAGACAGAGAGACAGAGAAACACAGGGAGCAAGAAATCAACCCCCGGGGGAATGGCCACGCCACAATCACTTCTCCTCCATTCTCCTCTCGGGATCTTGGGCACGCATGCACATGTTTCTTTTTTTTTCTTTTTCTTTTTTTTTTTTTCCTTCCATAGGGTACATGTGCTCACCAGGAACCGAGAGGGAAAGTGACAAAGAGCAGGGGTGGCCATGCCACAATCCCTTCTCCTCTCTTCTCCTCTGGGGAATCTGGACACACACATGATCCTGTGCACCAAATTGGTTTTCAAGTTGCCGGGCCCAGGACTCAAACCATGGCTGGGTATGTGGGAGTCCAGGGCCCTAACCACCATGCCACCTGCTGGGCCCCAGCAAGTGGGGGAGAGTTACTTTCGTATTTTGGTTTTCCTTAGGGAAGAATTAACGGGGCTCCTGAATCCGCCTTGACCAGGAGTAAAGTGGGAAGAGGAAACCCACAGTTTGGTAGTTAGGGGATGTCAGCCTGGTCCGAGGGTAAGACATGAAGCTGCTACGAACATGTAAGTGTGGGGGCCACAGCCGTCAATCCGCTGTCGTGAGTTTCAGTGTGAGAAAGGTGGCAGAGGCAGCCCCTCCCCCAGGTGCAGTCCCTGCTCTGGCATAACGTGCATATCAGCAAGAAAAGTTTAGCTCGCAGGTGGCATGGTGGTTAAGGCGCTGGACACGCCCACATGGCAGACCAGGGTTCAAGTCCTGAATCTGGTGGCTTGCTTTCTCACTTCCTCTCTCTCTCACTCTCACCCTCTCTCTGGTCAAATTTCAAAAAATAATAAATGAATGAATAAATAAAATAAAATAAATAATTATTTTTAAAAAAGTTTAGCTTGCGTGATTTCTCTGTAGAAGGCACACGATGCGGCGTGTACCTTATTCGTGTCAGGACTGAAGAACAGGAGGCTGACAGCGAGTTGTTTGTACACAAGCAGATGGCAGGTGCCTCTGATCTCTCCTGTCACTGCGACTAACGACCGGCATGCTGAACCTCACCGCACGGTTATGGGATTTTCTGTCAAGTGAAGAGAGCTCTGAACACCACACAGAGAGAACAGAGGGTTCATGTTTAGTTTTTTAAAGTAAAAGGGTGACCTTCCTCCAAATTTTAAAAATTATTTGGGGGTACCCTTACAGAAAGAAAATGTACTTATTTATAACAAATAGAAGTATTAAATTTATACTTCATGTTCACTATAGCAAATAAAAAAGGAGGGGGGGGGAGAAAGAGTGAGAAAGCGTGTGACAGACGAGCGACTTAGACACCCCAAGGGAGACAGGAAAAACAGAAACCGAACTCCTACGTCGCATGGTAGCTCCGCAACCCTCTTTCCAACTGCTGCAAAGTACTGCGTTTTCTTTCCCTGACATCACGCATTAAGTACCCCTTTCCCATTTTTAAAATAACTTGCCACACATGCTGTGAGTGGAGAAAAACCCGATTTTAGTGACCACCTGGATGTACACCTCTGCGCTCAGCTCCTTAGACCCTTCAAGGCTGTCTACCAGTTTCCGTCCCAGTGTCCTGCCGAGCAAGAGGGGGAAACTGCTCCACTTCAGAGAAGGACTGTGCGCTTGTTTAAACTCGCTCCTCGTCCTTAAACTGCATGAAGCCGGTAACTCCGCGAGCCAACGCGCCAGCGGGCCCACTCCGGCGGCTGTCAGTCATGCGGGCCAAGGCTGAGCAGAAACCAACTCCAAAAACCGAAAAACGACCCCACCGCACGCGGCCTTCCACCAGGACAGGGAGGTTCGTTAGAGGAACTTGCGAAACCTGCTTATTCAGCCTCCAGTCTGAGCAGAACTCGTCCTGGAGACCGAGGGCAGGGGCGGGAAGGCCAGCTTACCAAGGTCACCAGCCGCAGCTCCTTGGCCCGCGCGCCCGGGTCGGGCCAGACCCAGAGCAGGAGCAGGACCGCCAGGGACGAGGCGCTCATGCCGAGGCTCCCAGCAGGTGGCGGGCGCAGCGGCCTCCGCGGAGCCCGGGAGAGGACGCGCTTTAAGGCGGGGTGGGCGGAGGAGGAGCCGCGCTCATGCAGTCACATTCCCGGAGTGTGGGGCGGGCTTAGCGTGGGCGCGGTCAGGAACCTGGAGCTGGGCGTGAGCGATCACCACCTGAAATCCGGTTAGGACGCCGAGGCGGAGGGAGGAGCTGGGCCCTGTCTGGATGTTAGCAGAGCGTCCTGTTCAGTTCCCGGCTCTTACCTTTTTAGGAGGGGTGTGACACGCGTGGGCTTCGTGGCTGCCGCTTGGGGAAGAGATCTGCTCTGATTCTGAAGCCACGGCCATGCCTAGTGTTTTGGGAATTCAGAATTGTACGGGAGCCCTGGAGACCTGGGGCATCCTGCGGAGACTGGCGTGCTGGGCCTGTCGACGCGCACGCATCTTTTCCCAGAACCCTCATGCAGTTTACAAACGGTTTTAAATTAGAGAAAGAAAGAACAAGTTTATTTGTAAAATCTTTGATTACACATTCGGGGATTACCTGTGGCACCTCAAAATTAAGACTGGAAATCCTCATCTAAACTGACACGGTTTGAAAAACAAACCAAGATGAATGTACCGGTCCGTACTGCACACGGCGGGTCACGGCGTCACGCGGGGGGGCCGGGGCACCCCCCAGCCGTGAGCTCACTGCAGACGCTGCGGCTGAGACAGTGCGGCCCAGTGAGACTCAGCTCTCCATGTCCCCCGACCTGTCGTCTCTGCGAAAACTGCGGCTGAGACAGTCCGGCCCAGTGTGACTCAGCTGTCGACGTTCCCCGACCTGTGGGCTCAGCACATCCGGAGACAAGGCAGACTTGAGGTGCACCTGGAGGGCTGCGGGGTTTAGGGCGAGTGCCCCGGGACGTTTCCTCCCAGTGGCAGAGGGGGGGCAGCCTGTTTTCTGGGTGTTGCATGTGGCCTGTGATAGGGAATTCTCTTGTTACCTGATCAGAAGATGCCCTGGAGTGTGGTGTGTGGGAGAGGCTTGCTCTGGGGTGGGGGATGCCAGTGAAGAAGAGACACACGTGCGTTCAGGGCTACACCTTTCAAGGGGGCTCAGGTGGGCTCTGCGGTCACCTGCTCCACCCCCTTGTTGCCTTATTTTCCTCCTGCCGTCTAATGCGTGAAATTCTGAGTAGCTGGAAGACAGGAAAACGTGTAAGGCTGAGAGGTTGTCTGGTCCAGGGCGACGTGAAGCTGCCACGCCATCCCTGCAGCAGGCCGGGAACTGGACAGGAAGCCCCCGCACCTACACAGCATTCTGCTTGCAAGCTTAGTGCCAAACCACGTTCTTAAACTGTCCCGGATGCCTGCTGTGGCAGCCTCACCTTCTCCGTCATACCCTGGCTCCGGCTCTGGCCCTCCCTGTCTCACCCTTGGAGTGGTGTTCGGGACTCATACTCGCAGTCGGGGCCCTTCCTGACGACCGCGTGGCTCCCAACCTACCCGTGCCTGTGGCCTTGGTTGGGTAAGTCCTTTTGCTGATCCAGACCCTAGTTTTTGTTTGTTTTCTCCTGTGGCACCTTTTCTGGGTTCCTTTAGCCTCCAGAGAGCACAACAACAATAAGTCTTTAGAGAGGCAGTCAGAGACGCCTGCTTGAACTGAATACATAGCAACTCACACTTAATCTGAATTGAATTAAGATGATGTTTTTCCTCGTAAATGTAATCTTGAAAAACCTGAGCATTATAAAAATGAGTCTGAAAGATCTCAACTCAGACAAAACCCATTTTTGAACCTTCTGACTTCTTGAACCTTGGACTCATAAACCCTTTATAAAGAGTTAAGGGTCTTCTGAGATAAAGATGTGGAGATATCTGGGGCCTGCAGATGGTATAAGGGTTATGTTGCTGGACTCCTATGTAGCCAACCAGGGTTCAAGTCCTGACTGTGGCGTGGCCATTCCCTGGGGGGCGGGGGGGGGATTTCTTGCTTTCTGTCTCTCTGTCTCTCTAACGAGCTCATATGCCCTATAGCAAAAATCTTTCTTTGAAAGAAAAAATATATGGCTTTATCAATAGTAATATCAAAAGTGAGATTGAAAAAATATTGGGATATCTTTATAGAAAAGTGAAGGATGTTAATAATTTTTCATTGGGCCAGCAGGTGGTGTGGTGGTTAAGGTGCTGGACTCCCACATGGCTGACTGTGGTTCGAGTCCTGGACCTGGTGGCTTGCTTTCTCACTTTCCCTCTCTCTCTCTGTCTCTCTCTTGTGAGCACACATGCCCTATAGCAAATAAATAAATGTAATTAAATAAATAATTATTAACAAATAATTTCCATTAGTAGCAGAATTTCGGTGGCTGACTCACTCGGGTTCCCTCGGAGTACTTCTCTCTTTGCATGTCAAGTACTCGGTCTCTCACACAGAGCCAGTAAGTTCTGAAGACGGAGCAGGTTGCAGTATTGGAAAGCAGACTCTCAGATGGAGTCTGGAGTGCTCTCGGGGCCAACACCGGTGGTGGGAGAGTGGGGCAGAGGGAGAAGTTGGACTGTGAAGCAGTATTAAAGAGGGCCTGAGTTGCCCGGCTGGGGCGAAGACAGGCTGGGCTGTCGGAGCCCTGAGCTGGGGTGAGGAAGCCAGGCTGCTCCAGCTCTGCGTTAGCCCTGGTGGGGCGCGCCCATGGGTGAGGTGAAGGTGCTCTTTTCTGCCAAGGCCATTCCCGAGAGCTAGGAGGATGAGCACTTCAGTTCATGAGGGGGAACCAGATGGTATAGCACTGAATCTGTGAACAAATATTTATAGAAATAAAACTGCGACCCTCGTAATCAGAGCTGGGAAGTATGGTATGTGCCTCTCGTGAGAGTTTGGGCTGGAGCTGAAACCCATGGATGGGAATATGGCAGCTCAGCAGGTGGGAGAGCTGCCTTCAGCCTGTTTGGCTTCACAATGAAAGGGCTGAAAGGGGCCCTGTGGGGCCACCCCCCTCAGCCTGGTTGTTTGGAGAGGACTTTTGTAGGGTCAGTCCTTGTGGGCTCCAGTGGTCAAGTTAGACGAGTACTACTCTTTTTGGAAGTGTGGCTTCTCTTTGCCTTTCTGCTTGAGTTAGGTGTCTCTATCCTTTTGAGGCTCCAGCAAGAGGCTGGCCATTCTAGTTAAAATCTCTGCTTTTCGATCTGTAAGGCACAGAATGCTCTCGCGTCAGTTCCTGGTCCTACGCATTTCAACCTGGCCTTGGAGCTCCTCTGACCTCATCGCTTGCCCACTGTCACCTCTCCAGAGGGAGATGTGGTAGCGAGGCAGGCGCGGGAGCTGCGCTTGTGGCCCCACCACGTGCAGTGCGTGCCTGGGTAAGCTCCTTTAACTCGTGAAATCTTAGCTTCCTCCTCCATGAAACAGGAGCGATAATAACAGTGCTTACCTCACAGGACGTGTGGTGTGTGAGGAGAAAACCATAGATAACATAGCGAGTATGTGTTACTGTACCAAACGGTGCTCTTTCGACATTCAGCTAGCACAACTTACCGTGTATCTGCTGCATGCCCAGACTAGGTTAAGTGCTACCCTTGAAGTGTCTGTAATGATAACCATAGCAAAACAAAGACTGAATTCCCAGAGCTTACGTGAGAGTGGAAAAAACAGACAATCGTCAAATAAACACAAATGTGTGACATAGTTTCAGATGGTAACAAGTTCCATGAAGAAAAATTAAGCAGGATAAAGGGAGAGGAGAGCAGGAGATGGGAGACCTTATTAGAGGAAGAAGTAGGTAGGGAGGTAGCCACGGTAACCAGCAGGGACTTCCCCGCTGAACTGAAAGTAAATGCCATCTCCCAGAGAAAGCTTCTCCAGCCTCAAGTCGGACTGTGGGCGGAGTGAGAGAGAACCCCGTGTTTGAAGGGCAGCTATCTTATACGTAGACTTTGAAGAAGGCTTATGCCATAGTAGAGGTGTGCCAGCCCACCAGTGATAGACCCCACAGAGAAGCCTTCCTCAGGGTGACCCTTTGACTGCTGTCACGTGCTGTTTATCCGTCCTTCCATCCACCGCCGTACCCTCTGAACTCCAACGAAAGACCACAGAGAAGACTGTACTGACGGTATTATTCCTGAGGAGGGATTGCCACAGTCTAGCTTAACTATTGGCAGAATCTGGATTTGAAATACCAAATACGAATACGAATATATCTTAGGCCTCTCCCATAATTGCTCATTGTTCATAACTGCGTATCTTTTTTTTTTTTTTTTCATGTTTCCATCAATGAGTGGTGTCATTTTCCAAACAGGAGCTTAAACTAGAAATCTTGGTGGTACCCGGGATTTCTTCATCTCCTGAATCCTTGCATATTGAATCAGCTCAAATTCTACCAAGTCCTTTTTCTTAATGCCAGGATTGCTGCAGTGTCGTTAACTCGAATCTGGAGTTCAGACCCCAACTAGTCACTTACCAGCAAGTTAGTGAGCTGCTCTGTGCACCCGTTTCCGCATCGGTGAAGGCAACTGCATTTCTTTTCTACAGCTGCTGCAACAGATCACCACAGTCTTGGAGGCACAAAATGATTCAAATTGATTATCTTACAGTTCTGGGGTCAGCAGTCTGAACCAGGTCTCGCTGGGCTAAAGCCAAGGTGCTGCAGGGCTGCCTTCCTTTGGGAGGCTCTAGGGGAAAAGGCACCTTCCCGGTTTCCCTTTCCCAAGGCTGCTGTGCTCCGGGCGTGTGGCTGCATTGGTCTTTAGACCTCAGGCGTTGCTTACACACTGACTCTTGCTTTTCTTTTCCACTTGAAGGAGCTTTTATGATTACGTTAGGCCCATCTGGAAAGCACAAGTTATCTTTAGCTTAAAGTCAGATGATAAGCAATCTGAATCTAACCTGCACCCTTTGCCGTATTCATGGCTCTGGGGTCAGGACGGGCACAGGTCTGGAGGCCATCATCCTGCGTACCACCATACCTATCTCAGAGGGTCCCCAGGGAGCCAGGGAGGTGATGCTTCGCTCCATCCCCTCACCACCTGTCCGGATGCTCCGTGTGATGTGCGTGGTCCATAGGCCTCACCTTGTTGGTGGGCTGAT